CTATAAGATTAGAATCACGGGTGTAAAAAGGCACATACTATGTACTCCTTTACTCAAGGAAAACTCTCGTTTAATGGAGATGTGTCTCTATCTTCCCTGCTCGTCGTAGAATCTCTTCATTCTTCAATGTGACAAAAGAGAACGAAAGAGAAATAATACACTCCATCATAGTTAGGGATCTTATTCTGACTTTGAATTCTAAAATAACTCCTTCTCGTCCTTTTTCAAGTCCAAAATAATTTTAGACCTACTATGAATACGATGAACCAAATAAAAGTTGAAAAAGAAAAAAAAAACAAGAAATATCTTGCAATCATGCAACTAGACAGAATCGGGCCAAACTCAAAATAATCTTTTCAAGTGACATAAATTTTAATCAAAGATATGACATAGTGTCTTTGGTGAGTTGGTTTGGGTAGTTGTAACTTCAAACTCAAGATCAATTGAGTTTTTTATGTGAAAAAGGTCATTGGTCTTTAACGTTAAAGATGGAGAAGAAATGGAGTTAATACATTGAAGAATGTTTTTTTGGTCACTACAAAAGAGTAAGACTCACTAGGGTTGGGTACAATTTAGTTCGGTCCGATTTTAAGTTTCAAATCACAAGTCAAACCACATATTGCAGTTTATTCAAATTTCAAATCACAATCGAACCATAATAACTCAAAAACGATGTAATCTCCCCAATATTACAGCGTATTTGGTTCGATTTGCGATTTAACATGCACAAAATATATGTAACAATGGCACCATGAAAATGAATGCAGATACAAACCGCAAGTCAAACCACATAATGGGTTGGGAAGTTGGGACATAATAAACATATGTAACAATGGCACCATGGAAATGAATGCAGATACAAACCGCTAACATGTGCGGATGTCTTTTTGCGTGCCCCAGAATGCATAATAATTCCAATTTCGAAGCAATCATCTTATTTCTTTCCCTTTCTTTTTTACAGCAAAGGTGGAATACTCTCATCAAAGAGATAATTCTAGAACAAAAATAATTAGGGATAAGTACGAATAACTATCACCAATTTACTAGAGTGATTTTAAATTAGTCTTATTTTTGAAAAACATTCTAAATAACAACCGACGTTAAGTCAAAATTTTACTGACATTAACTGATGACGTTATAGTATTAAATGACAAGTTGGACAAATATTAAAGTAGGTTTTCACTAATCGATGTCTTTGGTGCTCTAGTCCCCCAAATCGACCCCTTCTAGAGAAGTTAAACTATAAATTTGCTTAGTTAAATTGCGTTGATTAAGCATCATAGATGACTTGAGAGTTAAAACATGCTTTCGTATTTGTCCACCTCATAACTTAATGCTAGTGAACCTAACAAATGTCAAATTTTCAAAATTTTAGGTAGTTATTTGGAGTAACAAAAATAAAATATGCAGCCACTACTACGGTCTAGTGGTATTCACTTGTAAGTGAGATATCTTACATTTGATTCTCGTCAAAGACAAATTTGAACCACATTATTGCTAGCTCATTGTGAGGTTTAGCCACTCCCCACCCCTTTAATGTAAATAATATCCTTTGTTAAAAAAATATATAGAAAAAAAAGGGTAAAAAAAAAACCTGTGTTGTACTTGTACTTAGACAGTGCTAAGAAGTGTGTGGTGAAAAACCACATTCTCAGCATTTCAGAATAACTTTGTAAAGTTTTTGCTAAACATCGTTAGAGGAGTATTTTATTTTCAGAATTTTTAGCCATTTTAAAAGCAAGTTTAAGTTCAATGTAAGGTTAAACTCACTTTCCTCCCCTTAGTGTAGATAATATCATTTGTTACAAAAAATAAATAAATAAAAAAAGTCTAAACCGGCATTATGTTTTCTGTAATTTATGGGCCATACTAAGATGGAGCGGATAAGCAGTAAATTCAGAACTTCTAATTTGATGTTGTTTTTGGGCCTTGAGTTGGGTGGTGATGGGGCAAGGCTAGACATGTCGATGGCTCAAATTTTGATCCGAATTTGATGTAATTAATAGGCTATGGTTGCAATTTTCAATACGATTACCCAAATAAAATCTGAATTTGATAATCCGATTATAAATGGACTGAGGCTTGATCTGATAATTACAATCGGACTTAATATAACTTATTATTTGATTTTTATATTATTTATTCTTTTGTGTAATAGTAGTTTAAGCTTTTTATGCAATAAAAATACAATTATATTCTATTTTCTTATTATTCAACACGAAAATTTTAATTATAAATAGAAAAATATAATAAAAGAATGAGGTTACTAATGATATATTTTTTTTCTAGGTTTTAAATTAAATCCAATAAGGATCTGATCCAATATGAAGCTAAGGTTAGTTAAATATGGATTAACAAGTCATATCCGATGAACCAAATAGATACTAAATTCATTAATCTAATTATAATTGAATTCGGATATGAATCAAGATTGATCTGATTAAAATTCGAGCCATTTACAGGTTTAGGCTTTTTCATCAATCATTCAGAATCTTTGCCTTAAAGCCTTGAGCATCCAGGCACCAAGGGTCCATAGGAAAAAAATAAATACAAGAGAAATCAAAATGAGGTTGGCCTTAAGAAAAAAAGTCTCGAAGATTGAGAAAAATGAACACTAGTTTTTTTTTTTTTTTTTTTTTAACAATTAAAAACTCTCTCTCAACTGCAAATTATAAGTTGGCACGTATACAAAACTGCATCAACTTATATATCACAAAAAGCAAATTTGTCCACATGTCAAACAATGATGGAGGAAAATATTTTCCGAGAAAGATACTAAAAATATATAATTAGCACAAAAAATCATGATATGCCAATTGCAGATGCAATAAAATATATATATATATATATATATATATATATATATATAGTTATATCCCATATATATAAAGTTCATAACCATAAAACTATATAAAGTTCATAACGATAAAACCCTAAAGTGAGTGGTCCTCTGCAGAACACTTCAAACTCAAGCGAAAGGATATATATAAAGTTCATTCCTCTGTAGAACACTTCAAACTCAAGCGAAAGGAACAATTCCAGTCAAAATATTGATATACAGGAAATTCTGCCTCATCTCTTCCTACATTGTTAGTACTAGTTTGGCACATCTGAAATTAAAAATAAAATAAAAAACAACTATGAAAAAATTTGGTGGGTAAAATGTGTTTGGTAAATGTAAAAATAAGCGCTTATTTTTAAAGTTCCAGCCAAAATAAGCAGAAAAATGGAAGTAGCATTTTGTTGCTTCTCAAAACATGCTTTTTTTCAATGCAGGCGGATGAACAGTAAAGTTTAATGAAACTTTCTTAAACCCAATTATACCCTCTTCGTTTCTCCTTCTCGCTTCCCTCATCATATCAGATATTCGAATCCGATTGTTCGAGAGGACAAGTCGAGTTTGGCTTCGCAAGGAATTCAAGGCCGCCGAAGATTATGTTATTGGCGAGGATGATCTTCTGGAGATTTCTACTTTACAAGAACTATTCCAGGGACGAAACGCTTGCCAGAGGGCTAGAGCATAAGCAAAGCTACAGAGGGACAACCGCCCCTCCCCTCGTCTGAAATGAAGCCCAGGTGCCCCTCTGGTCTCGTTGGATAATCTATGCCTTCCGAATATATGCGGGACTGGGCAGGGGCTAGGCGGGCGTACATGAAGACGCCGGAATCAGATTTTTTTTTTTTTTTTTTTTCCAGAGTCAGGCGCGAGGAAGAAGATGACTTTGGTCTCATTTTAATTGCACAATTTCATTTGAGATGGAGATGGAAGATAACAATACAAATAAATATAAAACAAAGATAAACCAGAGAGATGGAACCTAAAATTATAAATAAAAAAATAAAATAAAGATAAATGATGAAGATTGAAGATGAAATTATAAATAAAAAATAAAATATTATATTACATTTAACATTATACTTTTTTGGTAATTTAATATAGTCACAGCAGTTTTACATAAAAGTTTACCAAATACTTGAACACTGCTTGTTTTTTTGTTAAAAACATTTTTACAACAAAAGTTTATCAAACACTTAACTGTTTTATTTTACAGTTGATTATTTTTACAGCACAACAGAAACAGTTTTTTCAAAAAGTACAGCAATATCAAACTAGCTCTTAGTCTACCTCAACTATTTGAAGGAACATATGTAGCCAATACAAAAAAATCACTTAGGGCTAGTAACTCAAGTAATTAATAGCATTTACCTAACATTCGGAGTCCCATACTTCCGCTTGCATAAAGAAACAAAAAAATTACGCATACACCATCTGCAAAGCTTCTGCTCTGAAGGAAACCAAAACTAAAGAAGGATTTGGTCACATAGAAACAGCTTCCTGGAACAAAAATCCGGTGCAAAAAGAATTTACCTCTGCTCAAAACTCTCTGAGACAACGGACACGGAGTTCTTCAAGGTTTTAGACCCAATCATCCACAACAAGTTAGATAAAAGTCCTCAATTGAAATTGGATTTGCGCATAGAATTAGACAATATAAATAGATGGGTTAGTTCTCTTCCTCTCATTTACTCCTTTACCCTTTACGTATGCGTAGCCACATTGGCAAGCAGATTTGTGCTCCCTTCCGCAATTTAGATTAGTTTAACGTAGAATATGGTGTGTATGGACAAAAACAAAAACAGGGAAAAACAAAGCAAAGACGGAGAATCGAAATCCACATACATTTGCTACAAAAAGTAAAGGATTTTTATTGCAAGCTTTTATACCATCTCCACGATACCAATTATGAGCTTAAAAATACAAATACAAAACAGTTGCATCACCTGATTTGGGCTTCTTCGGACTAAATTGTTTCTTCTACCTCACTCAATCTTTTTCCAGCTGAGACACAACAAACTGACTGTATTGCCCTCTGCCTCCTCCAATCTTCGGTTTCGAATCGAATTCACAGGCCAGTGAAAATTTAAAAAACTCAACCCAACCCACACTAATCCGGACTCTGCAAAACCCACAATTCCAATCCACTTCTCCCTCCAAAATTCTACACAAAATCTCTCCCAACATGATCGAAAAGGAGCTTAGACCGCAATCTCCCCGATTCACTCTGCATATCAATCAATCAATTACACGCTTTCAGTCCCATTTTTCTGTTAAAATTCAATCCAAATAGCAATAATTTCCAAAACAAATGAGAAAAAGATTGAAATTCACCTTGGACACCGCCCCAACGGCTTCAACGCCGCCAGAGGCAGCCGTGCATTCCGGTGGCGTTTCAAAAAGCGACAGCGAGAACTGCTTATAAACAACCCCGACATCGAAGTAGATGATGCCGGAGCTGGGGACGTCGACCCGGATACCCTTAACGGGGAACCAGAGGAACAGCTCCTGGGCCGAAATACCCGACAAGGATCCGATCTGCCCGAAACTCAGCATCCCCGAAACGTTTCTGTCGTAATGCAACTCGCTCTCGAACTTGGCATTGCAGGCCTGATCCAGGTGGACCGTAAACCTGCCGGCGTCGTCGATTTCGAAGTCGACCACCCCTTTCGGCAGCAGTCCCATCGGAAGCCCGTGGGCCCGCAAAACGTCGTACATCGACGTTGGCTTCGAACTTGAGCACGTGATCCATAAGAGAAGGAAGCACAACATGAATTCTAGCAGCTGCATGTTTGTTAAAATCCCTGAGTCAACTCAAAAGAGAGATTTTTTTTTTTTTTTTTTTTTTTGTGGTGGTGGTGATATTTACAGAGGTTTGGAAGAATTAGGGTTTTTGAGATTTTGGAGGAGGAGGGAATTGGAAGATTTTTGGAGTGGAGGTAGTGATCTAGTAGAAGTGTAGAAGCAGAGAGTGGTGCCAGCTTGAGTACAGAGGGGATTAGGAGAATGATCAATTATTGGTGGTGGGAGGGTGGGCCCCAGTTGGAAAATGGCTGTGATTCCCTGTGTTTTCAACCTGTAGTGCGTGAGAGGACTCCCAATGGGGGCCTGCCATGTGGGTACGTAAACGGTGGTTGTGGTAATTTGGCGGGATTTGGTGGGTGATTTTTGTCGTGGAATCTGATAAGCACGAGGAGGTGGAGGAACCTGATAAGCACGGGGAGGTGGCGGAACCTGATAAGCACGAGGAGGTGGAGGAAGAGGAGGAGGTGGAGGTGGAGATATTGGATAGAGTTTCGGAGAAGGCGAGGAGCGAGGTGTTGGTTAAACAGTTAAAATATACAGTTGGAAAATTAGAATCCTCGTAACTTGAGAGGCCATAACGAACCAAAAGCACTGTCATCATCTTCTTTTTTCAACAAAATCTTCCCTAATTTTCTTTAGTATGCAATAATTTGCTATCTGTTTTTGTATACATAACTATCGTTGATGCGTATGAAATACGGGTTTTCTTTAAATACAATCATATTCATACATCATGTATTTATCGCTTAATTGTTAATACGGGAGTTCGTATCATTATATATTGTTTAACAGTTCATTTTTTTAAAGATTGAAAAGATTTATGAAAGCACTTTAATCTCTATTTGAAAAAACGAACTCAAGACGTGCAGTGTGAAATACGAATCTTGAAATTGATCTCTACCCACTATGTTATCCATGATGATTTTTTATGTACCGCTTTCAAGTTCATAATTATGAGTTTAGTGACAAAATATGTTTGATTTTGACAGATTAATTGTTGTTGATATACTTATAGGATACCAGATCTAGCCCTGCCAAAAATGAACAGAAGAGATGCATATGCACATGTGTCATATGTGGTGCAAATTTCGTGTTACCCGGCCTGCACGTACATTGATTTGACATCCATTTTATCTCCAATTTAAAATTCTACAATTTAAGAAATTAATTGAAATAGTAATTTAATTTTACTGCCTTGCAAAAATAATTTTAAATTAAATTTGTAAACCATGATATTTTTCCATATGCTTTTATAATGAATAAAAATAGTTATCGTGATAAGATTAGTCGTAATTGTGCATCATACTCTTTATAATTTTTTTGTAATTCCAATCTAATTTTTTTCTTTCAGTTAAATAAAATTATCAGTGTACGAAAAACTAGTTAGTGCCGTATTTTGACGGTTGCAAATGTATGAAAAATGATAATGTTGTCAACTTGTCACACATAGGAAATCAAAGGTAACTTGCTAAAGGTAATAACAATATTACAGTACGCATTACTTGGGGTATAAGTGATTATGATTTTGTCTTGACATAAATTATGGACAATAATTTCGGTAATTAATTGAAGACAAGTTTGCTAAACAAATGTTTAGGGGATTATATTTGGAGTGATGGAGTAGTTCAACTAACGTGTATTCAATTCAATTATTTGGTTCAGCTACCTACTTCCTTCGTCATAATTATTATAATCTTTCGTACATTCATAATTTAATGTTATGAAGAATATTATAGACATACACTCATAGTATATGATTAAGTTTTTGTACATATGTCTCTTACTAACGTTTCTTAGGGTCAAAGGGTTTCTATGGTTTGGTGGCTTGAAATTTTTTTTATGAGCATCAGAGACAAAAGTTACGTGATAAGATAGATAAAGTGATTGATATGTCTAACATTAATTATGCATATTAATAAAAAAAAACAAATGCATGTTAAGTAATTTTAAATTTTTAGTGGAACTATAACGCTATGTGATCGTGTTCGGTGTACACCAAAAATTTATTGCAGTTGATGTTAGAACTAAAATTCCGCACCACCATAGACGACGGAGTTGTGCGAAAATGACCAACTACAAACAAGAACAAACAAGTGTGGATAACTTAAGATACCAGTATGGTACCAGCTAAAGGCTCTCCACTGTCAACTTAGTATAAAGTATGCGAACTCAAGCAGTGGGCTAGAGAGTAGAGTATGCATATGAAAAACGTTATATGCCCTAGATGGGTGTATTCATACTAGTCGGAAGGGAGTCTTTTTAGGATGTAGGATTTGCTTAAATAGAGAGAATCCTAAAAGATATTTTTTATCATAAGATATTAGTTTCTTTTAAGATTGTGATTACTTGCGACACACGTTAATCCTTAGATTGTAGGAATCTCCAAGATATAAGAAACCAAACTCATCCCCAATCGGATCAGGTTTTCATGTTTTGCAAAGTAAACATGGTCAATCTCAACGAGGTTTGTGGACCTCACCAACCATTTTGGAGCCTAACAGGGTGTGGTGACACTGTTGTTCTGTTTAGACTGTTTAGCCTGATCGGTTTTGTTGAGTCTATGATCAGATTTCTGAGGTACTAGTATTTCGATCTGTCATTACTCCAACCCAATAAAAATCATGGTCCCACAGTTGAGAGTTTAATAACCTTGATGCCATCATGCGGGACCATTTCTCTGGTCGTCACCCACAACTCTTACCAGTTTTGTTGCTACCACGCACTATTGCCAGTTAGATGTGCCACCACTCTTTGTTTCCGTCGTTGCTAATGTGTACATTACCTTTTTTAATGACGGGCAAAGGGTTAAAGTAAAGAGATTATGCATTGCAACATGGGTTTATTGTCAGATAACTAAACATAATTCTGGCTGACATGATTTATAATTCTTTTCCATTCTTCAGTTGAGGAGACTATGGATCCAATGTCGTATTAAGCCCACAGGCCGTCTTTCAAAATATAAAGGTCAGACAACTGGGCTGGACAGGGCTTCTAGCCTTCTTGGTCAAGATATTGGCCCAATCTAATCACTATTTTTTAACATATATTATACAACAATAAATCTACTATAAACAAAAAGGGTTAGGTCTTTGACGTAACTCGATGAGCCAACCACAACTAGGTATCAAACTCAAGACGAATTGTATAAGTAATCCCTGTCTTTGTTAGTTAAACTCGAGGTCTTCCAATTCACTTACAGGTGAAGAGAAATATCACTAAATCATAGTACTAATTGATATTTAATTTTTTTTAATCAAACCCAATTCACTTATTAACTTACAATCCCTTGTGGTTAATGTTCATATTCGTCAATTAGATATCTAGTGATATTTTTTTCCCTCAAAGTTGAAACAAATATCAGTTTCAAATGCCCCATCATATTAATCTTTATCTTTTGTTATGATGGGGATTCTCTCCCCTCCTTTTCTCCCTCCCTTCCCTCCCCTTCTCTCACAGGATTTTTTATTTCTTCTTTCTCTCTACAAAGATGAAATTTTAAGCATTCAAACAGGAGGGGAGAGAATGAGTGAGAGAAAAAAAGGGAGGAGAATTCTTGTACCTATTGTTTGTTTGGTCGCCTCATCGCTATAGTCTATTGGGCACCATAGTTTAAGTTGACATGGATTCTCAATTTTATCAATTTGAACTTAAATCTTTGCTCTAGTCTCCACTAGTCCTCGCAAAATGCTCATATCAAAACAATTCATATTTTTGCTTTAAATCGTAAGTGATTTGTAACTCAGTCTGTTAAAAATATTTATTTTTGTATCTGAGGTCCCGTATTTAAATCTTCCTTTCTATAGTCTAATGTAGATTATCCTATCTTTGTCAAAAAAAATATTTTTACTCTAAATGATAGCCAATTGACATCGTATTCAAACACGACATATGATTCCTTATGTCTAGTTGTAACAAACTTCATCATTGTTCATATTAAGTCCACTTTTAAAAACTTAGGACCAACTTAGGACCAAAGAAAAAAAAAATCATAAAAACGTAAAACTACACAAATATTTCACAGTGGAATTTCTAATCCTAAAATGTTCAAGATGGAAGTGAAAAGTAAAAAATGAGTCAAAATGCAAGCTTGTCCAGTCCTGTAGTTCGATAGTCGGCGACAATGACAAGATTAAAGAAGGGCCATTATCCCAAACAGATAATAAGTCAAAAAGATTTGCTCAGTCGCGGATCTCAGGTCCTCAGCTAGGGCCAATACGTACTTCCCCAATCCCCACACGGTGAATTTAAAGGGTAAAGGCCCTAAATATACGGTGGCTGTGGCCTCCATCAGCCTCCCATCCTTTAGAAAATTGGTAAAAAAAATGGGACCCAAAACAATAACAAGCGCCTCTGGCGAACCAAAGCTGTGCTTTCCCCTTTCCCATGTGCTCTTTCACTGCCACTCTGCCACTCTGCCACACCCAGTTTCTGGATTTTTGCATTTTTGCTGCTCCTTCTTCCCAACAGACCAAAATTTCAAAAACCCAAATCTGTTCTGGTTGGCTGTAGAGAAGATCTCGATTCGCAGATGCCCTCTTCTTGTTTATTCAAGCTTGTTATCTTTCTCTGCTCATTGGGTTTTGGTTTGGGAGCAGACCCTTATGTGTTCTATGACTGGACTGTCTCCTACATCACTGCCTCCCCGCTTGGGGTTAAGCAACAGGTTAATTTCTTCACTTTTTACGTTTCGGGTTTTCGATTTCAAGCTTTAAAGTCGTGTTCTTTGATCCTTTAGCTGTGATTTGTGAGTAAAGTTTCCAACTTTTTTGAAGTTTCTGTCTTTCAAATGGAATGATCCAAGGCATAGTGGTTGCTTTCATTTAATGGATTCTCACTCCGACATAAATGCTGAGCTTAATGTATATCTTATATGAAGTTTACTCTTGTTTTGTTTAATTGAGTAGGTAATTAGGTGTAGTAACTTATAAACTTTGTATAGGATAATGTCGGGTGAAAATGGCAAAGAGATTTAAGAGGTTCACGTGTTTCAACTTTGGTATATTCTCTAATGCATAAATCTTACTGAATATGTTCTGACTGGTGCAACCCAGCTTAGAAATCGCAATGCAGGGAAGTTCGGGAAGGGAAAAAGGGGATTTTCAACCTTGGAACAGTTCAATTCCATGTGCATAAGAAATTAAAGAACTTTTTAATTACAAGTTAGTTTAATGGTCTGAAATCTGAATATCCAGCACCAGCACTCTATGGATTCAGTTAGTTTTTGGATAATTAACTGTGTTGAGCTTATGGATTTTTCTTTACCAAATGGCTTTTGTGTCTTTTCCGTTCACTACTTAACCCAAGTTAGGAATTGAATCTAGTTGAGCCGAGGTTTCATACAGTGAGAAGGTATACCTGCTACTAAATTGTGGTTAATGTCTTCTGATTGTTCCATAATGCAACAATAATGTATTTTGGCTACATCCTGCTTCACCCTCGTTTCATATTATAATTTCAGGTTATTGGGATTAACGGGCAGTTTCCAGGACCAATTCTTAATGTTACTACAAACTGGAATGTTGTTATCAATGTGAAAAATAACTTGGATGAGCCGTTGCTTCTCACTTGGTAAACTTTATGTATCCCATCAGCAACAAAATAATATTAAGTATTGATGATACTATTGCTAATAAAGCTTAGTTTAATGCAGGAATGGTATACAAAATCGAAAAAACTCTTGGCAAGATGGTGTATCAGGGACTAATTGTCCAATTCATGCTGGATGGAATTGGACATACGAATTTCAGGTTAAAGATCAGATAGGAAGTTTCTTTTACTTCCCTTCCCTAAACTTCCAGAGAGCATCAGGTGGATATGGTGGAATCACCATAAACAACCGAAATGTTATTCCACTACCTTTCACTGTTCCAGATGGAGATATTACCCTCTTTATTACTGATTGGTATACAAAGAGTCATAAGGTTAGTGTAAATTGTGTTTGTCCACTGCTTGTATTTCACCTATTTATTCGGTTTCTTAGGCGTGACTCATGCTTGTAAGGAAACAGGACCTTAGGAAAGATGTTGAAAGTGGTACTAGCCTTGGAATTCCTGACGGTGTCCTCATCAATGGAATAGGTCCCTTTCGATTTGATCAGGGACCTATTGCAGGAGGCAATTCTTTCCTGACAGTAAATGTTGAACCAGGTATATTTCTGGGGTGTGTCTGAGATGTTTCTGTGGTTCTCAAATGTGAATTTGTCATACTGATCCAGAATCATATAAACACATAGGGTTCCAGTGCGACTGAGACATTATTGTGTACTTTAAGGGCTTTTTTTTTTGGGGGGGGGGGGGGGGGGGGGTGTGGGGGGTGGGGTAGAAAACTAAGGCATATGCGGGTTGGCAACTTGGTTTTTATGAAGCTGTTATCCAGCAACCTTTTGATTTGGGTTTTTCTTTGGGTTCTTAACTTATTCTTTGGCCGATATGATTTGCATTAGCATTTTTATTATCTTGCACTTTTAACAGAAGCCGGTTGTTGGTAATTTCCTTTAACAGGAAAAACATACCGCTTCCGTGTGCACAATGTTGGTATCGCAACTAGCTTGAATTTCAGAATACAAAATCATAACTTGCTTCTAGTGGAGACTGAAGGATCATACACAGTTCAGCAGAATTATGCGAATATGGATATTCATGTCGGTCAGTCATTTTCATTCTTGGTTACAATGGATCAAAATGCCACAAGTGATTACTATATTGTTGCCAGCCCCCGTTTTGTCAATTCATCTTCATGGGCTAAAGCTACTGGAGTTGCCATCTTGCACTACTCCAATTCTCAAGGACCTGCATCAGGTCCTCTCCCTGATCCTCCTAATGATTACGACACATATTACTCAATGAATCAAGCAAGATCCATAAGGTTGTAGTTGATTATGTTTCTTTTCGGTTTACTAATAAATATATTTGAAAGAATAAAAACACTCATTCAGTTACTCCCAAAATTTTAATGGCAATGGTGATAACCTTCATATGTACTGAAATTGCTTACCCTATTATCAATGTTGTCAGTCATTAATCTCCGACAAAAATATTCTTTTTCATAGCGTTTTGTTTTATATTACATACAAGGAGGTTGAATTATATTTAATATCTAGGGAAAGTTTCATCTGCCTGATATTTCTTTGTTTATTTCCCTGGAAGTCCATAGATTAATAACCCATTTTTTTGGTCTTTTCTTTGATGGTATGTTAGTTCTCAAATGCTTGCTGACTACAGTTACATCTTTGTGACGGTTGTGCAATTGCAGGTGGAATGTTTCTGCTGGTGCTGCTCGTCCAAACCCACAAGGATCTTTTAAATATGGTGAAATCACTGTCACAGATGTCTATGTTATCCTCAATAGACCTGCAGAACTTATAAATGGGAAGTGGCGCACTACCCTCAATGGTATTTCATATATACCACCTTCAACACCCCTTAAGCTTGCCCAACAGTTCAACATTTCGGGGGTTTATAAGCTTGATTTCCCGAATAAACTGATGAACAGACCTGCCAAAGTAGACACATCTCTGATTAATGGTACTTTCAAAGGTTTCATGGAAGTCATCTTTCAGAACAATGACACCACTGTTCAGAATTACCATTTGGATGGCTATGCATTTTTCATTGTCGGGTGAGCTTTTTAGTTTTGAAATCATTATCTCTCTCTATTCCTAATTATGGAACTGGCAAAGTACAAACATGATCCGAACGATTCCCTGTTGCCCTGTAGCATGGATGTTGGAGTCTGGACAGAGAATAGCAGAAGCACTTACAACAAATGGGATGGCGTTGCTCGCTCTACTACACAGGTACCCCTCGGTTCAATAGGCTTGTTGCACTCGCACACATTTACATGTGCATGGAATGGAACAAAATTCTTGGTTGATCCATTTTAGGTTGATTACTTTTTGTTAATTGATTGCTTCATGCTCATATGGCTACAGGTCTTCCCTGGATCTTGGACAGCCATATTGGTTGTTCTTGACAATGCCGGAATTTGGAACCTTCGTGCACAGAATCTTGACTCCTGGTATCTAGGCCAAGAAGTTTATGTCAGTGTTGTGAATCCCGAGTTTGATGGAGATGAAAAATCTTTGCCTGACAATACCATATATTGTGGACTACTTTCCTCTTTACAGAAGTAAGACATCCGAACTTCTTCACCAAGTTTTCGTTCGTTTATTTACTTGTCCATCGAGATTTATATTTACAGATGATTAAAATCAAGACAATAGCATCTGAAAGGTTAAAAACCCTCGTTCCAAACTCTGCTAATGCATAGTTTTGTTTGGTTTTCTTCTCCAGAGACCAGACTCAGAGAGGAGTCAAGTTCTCTAGTGCACCATCAATCACCCGTTCGAGCACAACAATTTTGCTTATGTTAATCATAGCATGTGCGGCTTTCATTCGGTAATCAAGTTACTATCAGCTATAAGCAAAGCAAGCACTGCGATGCTTTCTACCGAACTGGTATCGAACGCGCAAATGTAGTTCAAGGGGATGGTAGAAATGCAAAACGTATTGAGACGAGAGTAGGACGTTTGATACCACCCATTTAGCAATATAGTTGTAATATGAACCATGTATTGTCATATTACATTGCAAACTATTTGTAATTGTAATTTCAATTTCCAAATGCAAGCCGCTTGTAGTCGATTCCTCTCACGGTCCACTGACAAATGCAAGCCGTTTTTCACATGATCCGGAGTGGTTTTTAAATATCTCAAAATTCGTTTTATTGCATGCAGAAAACCCCCCAACAAAACCACATATCAGTGCCTCCTTTTCCCTCTGAAAAATAACTTCGTTGTTGGATTAAAGAAAAGGAGAAGAGATTGAAAACAATATCTGAACTGCTTGTGCTTTCTGTTCTGATTCGATTGTGCCGTGCTGCATTATTAAGTTCAAACAAATATATAGTATCTAAACCTACTTTTTGCTTCCACCAAATTACAGGATTTTAAGGATGCAAAGACAAAACCATCCTCATCCTAGTCATCCCCTAAAAAATAAACAATATTCTCTCATGGAGGGTTGGTAGGTATTTGGCATGTCAATGTCATGCATTCATTTTACATAATAATCTATTTACCATTAAATTAGATGTTAGATTTAGCCACTATCGGGATTCAAACCCACGTCGTCATACAAGAGCTTAATACATTTCCACTACTATGGTAAATGACCACTTGCAATCCATTTACCACATCCTAAAAAATATATTTAAGAAAAGAATTTCAATGTATTTCTTTTCATTACTTACACACTCCTGTTGTTTTTTAACTATTAGATTTAACAATCAAAGGAGAATCAACGGTTAAAATTAAGAGAGGCGTAGAAGGTGAAATAAAGTGTGTTGACAACTTGAAATCACTTTCCGTTTGCAAATCCTAGAATGGATGAGGATTGCTCTAGCAAGTCAAAGGCTCGAAACATGCTTAATGCAACCTTACCTCAAATCATTGGTCTGTTAGACAAATAACAGTCACATCGGTCATTACTTTAGAATTTACCATCTTACAAATCACTTTAATTTTCTGTTTAGTTATAAAAAAAAAATGTTATAAAATTGTACGATAAAAAGTAGATAAACAACTTAGAAAAGCCGTTATTTTCTGTTTATATTACTCTACCATATCAGTTTATCTTCGTATTCTCTTAAACATGTGTAGTTAATTTTAGAAGAGTTACCAAAAGTAAAGCTAAAATTGATTATCTTCTAATATAACAGACTTAACAGTTAATTAATTAATTAAATAATTAAAGCTTAAAAGTCTGGTCCAATCCAACGACACCACACATTTCTTGTGCCAATTACTCCATTTCTTCCCTGTCATTCTCTCCCACCCTTACACGTTAAGGGCTAATGATGGCATTGATGCCCCCAAAAACTATCCCAAAATCATGGGGCACCTTTCCCTTTCAGTAGCCGCCACGCCTGATTGGCCAATACTCAACACGTGTCACGCATCCATTGGTCCCAAGAAGATCACACTCTTGCTGCCTGCAGCACAACAGCAGAGTTTTAGCTCTTAGTGCTAGTGGCCTCCCATTTGAGCAGCTCTCACTTTCATCATAGTTTTAATCCACTTTCCTGTTTCTCTCTCCTTCTTCAGCAACTGGTATTGCAGACTAATCAATCACTAATGAGCCCACTTAATTATTTGTTAATCCCACAAAAATTCATTTAAATTCTCTTCTCGCAGTATTTTGATTTGGTATCTGACACGCTTCTTGTTTTTACAATTTTTATCAGAAGTCATGGGCGGGAGAGTATTATCTTTATTTTTGGTGCCATTAATCTACATCTTCTTGAGCTTTTTGCCAACCCAATCAGCTCCTCAATCTGCTCTCATAAGCCAGATTCCTGGATTCAGTGGCACGCTTCCTTCAAAACACTATTCTGGGTAAGTAGATTTTTTTTTGTCAGATTTTAAGTACATGTGGGTTTCTGAGATCGTTCATGTTATGGTTGTTGACTTTTTTTTTGTGGGTTTGTTTTGAAGGTATGTGACAGTTGACCAGAGTCATGGGAGGAACCTGTTCTACTATTTTGTCGAATCGGAAGGGAAGCCTGCGGAGGATCCGGTGGTTCTGTGGCTGAATGGTGGACCTGGTTGCTCCAGCTTTGATGGCTTTGTTTATGAGCATGGTATCTTTTCATAGTTTAGTTTATTGTTCTGTGGTCTGTTTGGGATCCTTTCTGGAGAGTGTTCAAAGCGCTTTTGAATTAAAAAGTGCTTCTGGGTCGTATAAGTGTTTTTCTGAATTTTCTTCATGAAGTATTTTCCAAGTGGAACTTTGATAAAAACTTCAAACTGTCTGTCTCTAATAAGCACTTCAAGCAAAACCGCTTATGAACATAAGTGCTTCATTCATAAGCTCTTGCGTTTCAACTTATTACATAGGACCTAATTTCTCATAAAGTTCAAAACTTTGTGATATTATTAATCTATGAAACATTTTGGTTCTGTCAATATTTTTCAGGGCCATTCAATTTTGAAAGGGCCAAGACCAAGGGAAGTCTGCCTCAGCTCCACCTTAACCCATACAGCTGGTCAAAGGTTGCAACTTTGAGATGTGAAATGAATATTACCTCTGAATTTTATTTTCTTAATTTTCTTTGTACAAGTGAAATCAATTATTTTCATGTTATTAGGTTTCCAACATTATATATCTGGATTCTCCGGCTGGTGTTGGATTGTCTTACTCAAAAAATGAGACCGACTATAAAACTGGGGATCTAAAGACTGCCTCTGATTCCCACACATTTCTCCTCAAGGTGAAAAAGGAAACAACTCGATAAGCCTGTAACACCGAAAGTTCTTACATCAATGTATAATATGCATTGCAGAAGTTAACGACTTGCTGGGAGCTCAAGAATCCCACGGCAATGTATAATTTGTATAGTACAAAGACTCGTTTAACGTACTTGCTGAATTGATGTTTATTCTAATTTCCCAGTGGTTTGAACTGTACCCCGAGTTCCTCTCCAACCCATTTTTTATTGCTGGGGAGTCATATGCTGGAGTCTACGTGCCAACGCTTTCTTCTGAAGTAGTGAAAGGTAAATCAGTCAATAATAGTAACATTAGAAGTTACGTAAATATTGAAACCAAAATCTAAGGTGGAGCTTTGGTTGTTTTAACAGGAATTGATGCAGGTGTAACGCCCGTTCTCAACTTCAAGGTATTTATCTGTTTAAGTAGTCCTTTTGTGAATTTGAAATGTATGTGGCTCCAACCTCTAATTACTGCATAACACAGGGTTATCTGGTGGGAAATGGAGTTACTGATGATAAATTTGATGGTAATGCTCTTGTTCCGTTTGCACATGGGATGGGACTGATATCAGATGATCTATATGAGGTTTGTAAAGAATGTCGAGTTTTATACAAGCATTGTAATGCTAATTTCATCCCCTTTGTTCCCCCTAAATATCGTAGTAATTCAGGTGAAATGTATTTGTGCTTCAGGAGGTTAACACAGCGTGTGGAGGAAACTACATTGATCCGGTGAACGATCCTTGTGGGAGCAAGCTTGAAAAAGTTGACAAGGTAATAAAAATCTCAATATTTTGCTTATAACAAGGAATCTTATGTTTTTGTTAAACTGACTTTAAGATTTTATTGATCCCAGAACATCGACGGTTTGAACATATATGACATTCTGGAACCATGCTATCACAGCACAGATTCGAGTAAGATTAGAAGAGTTACAAACAGTGGATTGCCATCTAGCTTTCGCCGATTAGGTGAGACTGAAAGGCCTCTTGCTGTGAGAAAAAGGATGTTTGGTCGTGCCTGGCCTCTTAGAGCTCCTGTGAGAGATGGTATTGTTCCAACTTGGCCGGAGCTGATGAATAGCGAAGAGGTTCCGTGTACTGTAAGTTGCTTAGTCTGTTACAATTTTAATCTTTTAATCCCCTTTCCCATTGTCAACCATTAATTTTTTGATTAAGTAGTAATTAGACTTCCCCGAAAGGGCTGAAAGAAAGAATCTTCAACTTCGATACAAGAATATTACTCTCATGTACAAGAAGCCTTAGATTTGATGTATCTCCTGCAGGATGATGAGGTTGCTACTGAATGGTTGAACAATGAAACAGTTAGGAAGGCAATCCATGCAGAAACGGTAAGGTTTATCAGAGTTCATGTTTTAAACCAGAAAATAAAGTTTGTAAATGTCTAGTCCTGCTGGCTCCTAAAAGGCATTGTAACTGTTTGAAATCCTTTCTGCACCATCTAGGATCCTTCATGGGAATTATGCACAAGCAGAATCAGATTTTATCATGATTCTGGAAGTATGATCAAGTACCACAGGAACCTCACCGCTAAGGGTTATTGGGCACTTATATTTAGGTAAATCTCCAATTACAATGTCATCTGTTAAAAGTCATGCTACAGTGTTCCCTTTGATTGCGCAAAAACCGGAGAAGTAAATGAAAAATGAATGTTCTAACTGATGTGCATTCCTATTCGATTTTTTCTGGCAGCGGTGATCATGATATGTGTGTTCCCTTCACCGGGAGCCAAGCATGGACCAGATCACTTGGTTATAAGATTGTGGACGAATGGAGGCCATGGACTTCGAATGGACAAGTTGCTGGGTACTCACTATTACATATTTCCCTCATCAAGCATTGTGAAAAGTCTAATTTCTTGGAAGAACATTTTTACATGGTACTGCGGTGAGTGAATAATCGAATGTGAATGGTTGCAGGTATACACAGGCTTACGAGAACAACCTCACCTTTCTAACCGTAAAGGTCAGCACACGAAAATGTTCCTCGTTCTACTACAGGCTATACTGAAACTGTAGCTGGTTCTTTTGATCGGATTCAATTGTTGATTCTAATACTTACGTTTAAATGTATCGGTGCAGGGATCTGGACATACAGTTCCGGAGTACAAACCACGAGAGGCGTTAGATTTATTTAGCCGGTTTTTGGCCGGAAAACCACAATAAGAGAGAGAGAGAGAGAGAGAGCAGTGTTGTTATGTATTAACTATGCTACAGAAGTTGTAGAGAGAACAAATCATATGATCCAAACAAACAGTTTGCATTACCATTGAATAAACTGCATTTGACATCAACTCTCCTAGTAATTTTCACTAAAAATTAGCTTTGAAATGCTAATAAACAAGAATTAAGCTAACAAATCTGCCATGAAATCCAATTCTCACACTGAATGGGAATTATGTTACCCTAACTTAGACTGCAGGCAATCTCTTGGAGTCATTAAATTGGACAGTTGTCTTTTGTATTAGAGAAACAAATTTCCTTCCAAATGTTAGGAATGTCAATACTAAGAGATAGAGAATGCACAAACTGAAGTAGAAAATGTACATCAAGAATTTATGTGGTTTGGCAATTTATGCCTACGTCCATGGAACAACTATCAATCTTCACTATATGAAAAAAATGAGTACAACAAGAGTAGTCTTACCAAGCCAAAGACAAGGCTTGATGGATACAAGAAAGTATAACACACACTTTCTATCACTCTAAACTTCACTCACAATGTGTGGTTGAACACCCTCACTCTTGGAGTGGAACTCTAGCTTTGGACTTGATCCTTTTCTACTCACTTCTTTCTTGATTAGTTACATCACTACAACATCACACCCATATTTATAGGTGAGGGCTTGGCATTCTACTAGTTTCTAGTATATTCTACAAACCTCTAATTTAGATAATTCTAGACTAGTCATCTTACTTTGCATGCTAGAATTTTCTAGCATCCATCATTTATAATGGGCTGGACCTTTAATGTCCTTCATCATGGGTTGGACCCATGGTATACCAACACTAAAGTTGGGAAACACAAGTGCCTTGTATTTTTTTTTTATATAATGTATATCGAAGGGGAATGACTTTGAGTGCAGAGATAAACATACGTCTATTTTTTGATATAATGGATATCGAAAGAGAAAGAACTTTGAGTGGAGAGATAAACATTCCTATTCACTCCCTCTTTTGATACAGTGAATATCGAAAGAGCAGAGATAAGCATTCTTAAAAAGCCATTTTTTAAAAAAGAAAACTTAAAAAAAAAAGACTAGATTAGGCTAGAGTTTATCCCAATTGTGTCATGACTGGCCCACGAACGAGGTGCCGAATCTTTTGTATTTGATTTGGAGTGACTTTTTATTTCGTTGGAGAAGATACTTTATTTTAAAATGGCAAAAAGTATCCGAAAATTATGTTAATTAACATGGAAGTATATCAATTTACCTAACGTGAAAATTAAGAACAAAACCGTCATCTGAGTAGCAGTCACATATTAAGTATCATCCATGGTCGCATGAAACATTAACAAGCTTGAGTGGATTAGTAGATGTACAAATATATTTTTGCTACTAATGACACTGATTAAGTCGACTCAAAATCGACAGTTAAAGATCAATGAATCTCAGTATTTTGGGCCGCTTGTCCTGATGTTGGATTGGGCCTACTGAAGGCTCAAATAAAAGTGATCTCTTGCTTTGGAAGGTGAAATATATTCGACCAAAAATAGTAATAATAGTAGCCCAATAAACAAATAAGTGATCCAACGGATCTATTTCGCGGGAAGCAACGGGCATCTTTTCCCGCCACCAGGGAGCCCTATTAAATACCCTAAAACCCTAATTGGCGAGTGCTCTCTCTCCCTCCCTCTCTCTCTACTGTCACCCTCAAAATCTGTAATTTTTTGATCGACTCCAAATCCCATCTCTCTCTCTCTCTGTGCAATGAGTTCGTCAGAAACCCAAAGGACAGCTAAACCCAGTCTCTCTCTAACCTTCAAATCGGAGAAACCTCATTTAAACCCAAAGCTCCGAGTTGCAGAAATCGACTCACTGAGCTCCAAAACCCCTGAGAAGCCCCAACAGTTCCGTCACAAAAGCTTATGGGAGCCGACCCAGAAGCAGCCGGCGGCTCAGATCGGATCTGCGAGACGAAAGATAGATTCTTGGTCCGAGGAAAACCCGATTGAGACCCATTTTGGTGCCTCCGAGAAGCTACCGGAAAAGTAAGGCTCGTGAATTTCAGTTCTTTATTATGTGTTCGTAATTTTTTTTTTCTGACATTTTGGGTGGAATTTTGATTCATTATATTATTTTGGGGTTTTTTTTGTTGTCGTTGCAGGTATGAGATATTGAGCGAGTTTTTCGATTGCTTGGACGCTTCGATTCGGTTGTTGCGGTTGAGGGGCTTGATGCCAAGCTTTACCAATCTTCGCCCGAAAATTGAGTGTTTAACGGATAGGTACTGGAAGAGGTTTTCTATTTAATCTGTTGTTTGGTTTGGTAGGTTGCTGAAGAAATAAAATTAGGCAGTAAAAAGTGACTGATTTTTGTTTATCTGGGTTTTTAGGAGGTTTACAATTAGTCACTTGGCTCAGCTGAAGATTGTTTTACCTGAGGTAATTGAGATTACAAAAGTGCTTGTTAAGGATGAGAGAACCAGTGGTATGAAGCCGGATCTTCATGTCACCATGAATGTTGATGCAGTGGAAAACGATGACAAGTTGAAATCTGAAGGTGGTGGGCATATGCATTTGAGGCGAGCCTTCCGCCATCGGCTTGGAGACATTTCAAAATCCCATCCTGAGGTATACATCTTCTCATTTTCGGTGGAACACAACTAACATGGTTTGATTACTTTATATTCAATGTTATTTAATCTACTAGTAAGATTTGAGGTTAATGGAATCCCTTTTTACATTGGATGTTCTGAGCAATCTGTGAGATTTTCATCTGGAAAGCTATGAGTCACACAGAATTTATGAGATTATTAGGGTACTGGATTAAAAAGTTTGAGCTTATTCCTAATTACACTCTTTTCGAACAAGCTACTTCGCAGTTCAAGATTGTGTTTTATCAGTTCAACATTGTTTTTCTTGAACTAATTTTCGAATAAGCACCGGTCTGAAAATGGTTTATTATGTGCTTTCAGGGTTATGAAATTCCAGAAGAAACTCTGCCCCCACCATTCAATTTTGCAGAGCAACATATGCATCCAGATACAATTAAGTGTTCCTTATCATCACCTCTTGAGGCATTGACTGGTGCACATACAGTTGAGCAACCAGAAGCATCCAAAACCTACCTTCAAAGTGATGACGTTCCAGATGAAACACATCCAATGCCATCTGATCAATCAAAGGAGAATTTGAATTCAAACATAAGCGCAATTCCTGACCCGTCATTGCCCAATGAGACATCATTTGAAGCACCAGGAGAGCAGCTACCAGTAATAACAACTCATCTTCCTCATTCTTTTCAAAGGCACTTTTCTTTACCAGCCTTCCAAGGCCGAAATGTTTTAGTTCCAGAGTCAAATTTTAATATAGTTTGCTCCGTTGAGGAAGCTAGTGTTGTTGCTTCGTCATTTGAAACACTAGTGGAGCAGCAACCAGCAATAACATCTCATCTTCCTCAACCTTTTCGAAGGCACTTTTCTCAGCCATCCTTTCAAGCTCGAAATATTTCACTTCCAGAGTCAAATGTCAATGTAGTTTGCTCTGTTGAGGAAGCTAGTACTGCTGTTTCGTTGAGTGGCCAAGTGCCTGCAACTCCAACCAAAGAGACAAGCCCCATTGAAAGCGACGATGGTTTACCCACAAAATGTGCTAGCATTCTGTCCACTCCAAAACTTGCTTCAACTCCAGTCAAAGAGATAGGCCCCATAGAAAATGATGATGATTTCACCATAGAAGGTGCTAGTATTCAGTCCACTCCAGCAAAGCTTGCTTCAACTCCTGCTAGATTGATGTCTGCCACACCAGCATTGCGCCCGCCAAAACGCTGTTATATGAGCCCAGATGACAATTATACTAACTCTCCAGAAAAGATGGTTAGGTATCCTCCACGCTCCAGGTCGCTGAAATTTGACACTCCTGTGAAGAATAAAATGGTCAAGGATGAAGTACTTGATATGGACAATGCATCAATTGATAATGACTTTTCTCATATTCCTCCGGAGGATCTTTTGAAATTGGTATGTCATGTCTTCTATTTCAATAGTTCTATAAAAGTTGTTGGAGCTTACTTCAATCATCTGCACAAAATTTCATCTAATTGTGACAACATTTTGTCTACTTATTTACGAAAGCTTTATGAAACTGACTTTAGCTTAAGTGGTGTACCATAATATTACTAACTGCATCCAGCCCACGTCGTGGTTTTTGTGCAACCCTTTTTTCCACAATCTATGGTATTCTGCAGAAAGAAGATCGTATGGCACCCTTAGATATCAACATCGTAAAATCTTTTTAGTTTTAGTTTGAGTAACAATATGATTTGTTCAACATAGGTGTATACAATTGTGCTCGAGGTTAGTCTTGAAAATTTTTAGAACCATTTTTCAACTTACGGTTGAAACTTTTACGTTGTTGAAAATCAATCTCAGTATCAATCTTTAAGGCTTTGCTTCATTCAACACTGCTTTACATCTACTTGGACTTGAATATAATGAACAACATTTTTGAGAAGTATCCATTTATCTTTCTACAGCTCAAGGATGAAGAGAGGACGGCAGTAGAGGAGCAAATTCCCGCCATTTCACAAGCAAAGAGGGATAAACAGATGATTTCCGGCCTACCTAAACTCTTCGACATGATCCATTTCCTATTTCAGTCTATGAACCGTTCTGCCATCACAAAAGAGGAGCTTGTACACAAGCTAATTTGGAATAACTTAGATTTTACCGATACAAGTAAGCCATTGTATAAAGTAGATGATTTCCTATTACGATTCACGAAAGCTCCTGGTGAACCTAACTCCTCTATTCTCTTCACAGATGAAGTTGAAGAGCAGCTTACCTTGCTGCTAGATCTGGTTCCAGAATGGATTTCTGAAGAAAAGTTGGAATCCGGAGGAGATTTGCTTTTGATCCAGTGAGTTTTATCTAGTCCCAAACAGAAATTATGCGTTATGTAAATGAATACTGCCTTGGGTTAAACGAAAAACTTAATCAAATTGTTTGATGTAAATTTGATCTCTGTTCTTGCAGCATTAACAAAATGTCAAATCCAGGTTCAATACGGGCACAGCTCGAAGCAGCAAACTAGCAAAGTAATCTGAACAGTGCTAGGGTTTCTGAAGGTTGCTGTAAAATAAAGACGGTGCACGATTTCCCGTCTTATTAAGCATCTTGGAATGTTAATGTTTTAATTAATTAGTTGTTCATGTAAGTATAGCCCATCTGCGTGGCTAATCTGTAGTTAGTATGTAGGCTTTTGTCAAGAATGTAATTTAACAAGAAAAATTATGGAATTATCTAATTTTGTTCTCCAGTTTCTAGGGTTTCTTTCTTCCAGCAGCATAGAAAATGCTTTGATTGCAAGCTGATTGAATGTGCAAGTAATTTTTCGGTACAAAAAATCTCCATTTGCACCTATGTTCAAATCATAGGCACGTTAGAAATTAACAAGATTTGAGTTGAAAGTAAAATATAAATTTGGCTATCAAATAGGATTATATTCCATCTACTAATGAGATTTAACAGGATCCCTACCACAAAAACATCGTACTAAACCCAACATTAATCAATATCCTCTTCCTATTTCCATGCACCTGCTGACCTTTCACAGATCTCTCAGTGCAGTGAATCCCCGATACAGCGAAACGAAAAACATGATCTGAAAAACGATACAAAATATAATGGCTCTTCGAAAGTAGCTAAAGACCTGTATGGCTCTACCAAAATCCATAGAAACTGAATCTTTACCTAGAAAGAATTAGAAATGTAAGATAGATGCTCAGAACCATCTTCTCAAGCACCTTACTAATCTTAGGCAATATTAGAAAACTGCGGCAAATTAAGCAGTACTCTTCTTGTTTCTAAAGCTTTCCTTCATCAACGCAAATTTCTTCTTGCATTGAACCACAGACTTCCCTGGAACAGCAGCAGCAACTCGCTCCCATCGCTGAGTGGCATCCTTGGAAAGGTTTTCAGAGCCTGAACCAGTGCTCTTTCGTGTACAGCAGACCATACATCTTGCTCGGAACCTGACGATAATCCATTTTCAACAATCGGATCTATAGGAGTTTGGTCTTTTGCACTTCCGCTTGACGACTCTCCCGATTCATCTGTCTTCACGGCAGGTGTTTCTGTGGGCTGAGGAGTCCGTACCCCTTCTACTTCGACTCTAGTTGTAAGTGGAGAAGCAATAGATGGTGAGGGTTTCCTCTTTTCAAGAAAAGAATCAAAAGCTTTGCTAGAATCAGGTTTCTGGAGGAGGACTGTTTTGGTTGCCTTCAAAATTTCTTCAACAGATCGTCCAGTACCAATATAATCAGAAACAACCCCCCACCTCCGAGACGTTCCTTTTGGAAATTTTACCATTCCTTTTCTCAAAAGCTCAATTTCTTCTTTGCTCCAAGGTTTCTCTTCCTTCTTCTCATAGCTGCCTAACTGAACAGTACCTTTAGTCTCCACGGAACCATTCTGTTGTTGAGTTTTCTTCTCTTCTTCTTTCTTATCCACCAAATCGTTTTTATATCCACATGCATCTCTAAGAACCTCTGCTCTCTCCACCCCCTCTTTGCCCTCCATCTTCTCACATATACTCCTAAGCTGCTCGGTACCAAGAGACGAACAGAGACTTTCCACATCATCCTCAGAAAGATTAAGCAAACGCTTTGAAGTAACAGGCCCTGAAACTGTTCGAAGGCGAGCTTTTTCTTTGCGCAGGAGTTTCTTCTCTTTCTCTTTCAACTTCTTCTGCTGTAAAGCTGTTTCTGCAGCTTGTTTGGCCTCCTCTTCTTTCCGTTTACTCTCCTCTTCTGCAGCCCTGGCTGCTTCCTCCTCCTGTAATTTCTTGGCCAGATATTTGGCCTCTTTTTTCCTCTGCTTCTCAGCTTTCTCTGCTTCCTTTCTCCTCAGTATTCTTGGGTCTCTTTTATATGCATTGTCAACAAGAGTACGAATTCGTGCATACTCCTCCTTCCTAGCCTTTTCTGAAAGTTTTGAATTCTGCCTCTCCATCCATCTCTTATGATCACGAGACTCCGCTTGCTCAAGATCAAACTCATCAGTATGTGGAAACTCTCTCCAACTCTTGAAGGTGTACCAGAAGTCATAGAAATTATCTACTTCCTTCAGTGGAGTACTCTCATCACCTAAAAATGGGATTGGTTGGCTAACTGACCACCGCCCATTCCTCATAAAAGCAGGACTGAACACTCTGAAGAAGTCCTGTGGGGCACATTCAGCGGGGATCTCATCATCAAACTCATCAGTGGAGTCATAGATTCTTCTCTTCACAGGATCAATTAAAGCCTCGTACGCTTCTTGGATGGACTTGAAGTGGCTCTCTATCTCGTCCTTCTTTGTTTGTTTTGCAGCTTCAGTTACCTCATTGAGAAGAAGAGCAGCCTGTTTGTCAGGATGATATTTCAGGGCAGTCTCACGATAGCTTTTTCTTATTTGCTCCTCAGTGGCAAGGTATCTTAAATGGCTCAAACCTAAGAGTGCATAGTGATCTTGTTCTTTGCCTTCGCCACCAGATTTCTTCTTACCTTTGCTGCTGCTGTACGAATCAAATGATGGTATAGAAGTCTGTTCCTTGTTATTAACCACCTTCTCATCTTCAACTTCTTTCTCTTCCTCCACACAACCACGTAGCTTCAGAGCCACAGCATGGAATGAATGCCCGGCTGGTTCACGATTCAATGCCTTGACAGGAAGGCAGTTGGAAGAAGCATACAGTGGTTGACCATCTACCAATTCTTGGGAGTACGAAATAAGGCGAAACTTGCTTTGGACAGGCATGATGATTATAACAAACCCACAGTACCAATAACCAGATAAATCGGCAAATTTAGTGCCCAAGAAAAAGCTCCACTGCACTTCAAAACCCTCTTAATATGAATGCACACAATCCCCACACTGCACTATCAAACAAAGCAAAAATCAATCCGATTATCTCCGATACCGAAAGATGCAAAATAACTAGGATACACAAACAACTTCACATGTATGGAGCAATCAACACATACACACCAGCATTATAAAAAATAAAAAAAAAAAAACCAACAAAACTAACTCTAATCACATAAACCTCAATATTTAAAAAATAAACAAATAAAATTCAAAGCAAAGAAACAAAATTTAATCACATAAACCTCAAAATTTGTTTCATAATTAAAATAATTCCCAATTAACAACATAAAACTATTCATTTTTTATAACATGCACTCATTTATTACCGTATCAACCAAAACTAAATTAAAAAATAATGAATAAAAACCAGAAACATTTCCATTTCATATCCGATTGCAGCAAAAGATTGCTGCTTTGAACGAGCAATACAAATAAAATAAATTAAAATAAAATAGAAAACGATTCAGCAGAAAAATAAATTAAACGGCGGCTGTGGAGAAAAATCTCAAACCTCGATGAGAGCAGATGAAGGCGATGAGGGTTTAACAGAGGGTTTGACGGATGAGGTGACAGAGGAGGTCGATGAGTGTTTTGAGCGATGATCGAAGGTCCGCCGGATTTATAGTTGGAGACGCAGTCGCTCGGCTCGTTGTGGTTGCTGGTGGTTTCACCTATATAAAGGTTCCACTCCAAAATGCCCTAATCAATTGCAATTGGGGGGCGATGGCTCGCGATCTGCAACGACCACGTGTCACGTGACTTTGGTTCATGTATTACCTGATAATACTGGGCCACTGCTCGGTTTATTGGCCCAAATATTTGTTATGTTTGGGCTTAAATAGAAAAACCAACGACAAGTCGTAAGCGCAATTTGGTAATTGAAGATTGAAAAATCAAGAGATATTTGTCGATTTTCTTCCACAAACTTGTAAGAAGCTGCCAGTTTCTTTCATGAACATTATTTTTAGTCAATTATCCCTCTGAATTTTCATAAGTGGTCAATTTCTCTTTTGCCGTTTAGATTTTAAATTTTTTTCATCGAAATTTCATTCATCTTGGTCATGTGCACGACACAAGGCAATTTTTTGAGGTAAAAAATGTAAGTGTATTCCTATTTGGGCTTGAAATAAAGGCTTAGACTGAGAAAGAATAACATGAATTGAAATGCCATGATTCTCGACCTAGTAATCGTTGCTCAGGCTAGTTGGCTCTCAGCCCAAAAGCGTGCTAATTTGATCGAGTCCCTGTAGGAGTAAGACTATTAAAGGATCAGGCTCAGGCACGGTTTGGTCGAGTTCTAAATGAATTAAAATTGTTGAAGATCATGATGGATTCTGACAAGATTCAAATTATTCTAAGGATCATAACTTATTTTGGTCAGATAAGGATGAATCAAGTGCAAAAAGGGATTAGGTTCAGAATCCTGGTTTAACTCAAAGAGGTGGAGACTGGGTAGAGATTAAGTTTCGGCTAAAGAATGGATTATGGGGACAAATAGAGAATATCCAGGTAAATGCCAAGTAAGCATAGTCCTATCAAGTATTTACCTCGGTAGAGGTTTTGCAACGTGAAAAGCCCCTACAAGCTTTAACTTAACAAGCAACTCAAAAATGCTCTACGCTTAAGCCCTTGCTTTGTTCAAAACCTTTCTCACAACCCTGTTTATCTTAACAGATTCATCAACACATCTTTAGTTTGGATAAGTAAATAGTTGGCAACTCGTGACATCTTCATTTTAGATAAGTAAACAACACTAGAACCGTAAAATTAGGCAATTTAGAAGCATCTTTAGTTTAGACAAGTAAACAGTACTGCTTCTAATTAGTTAATTATCTATGCAATGTCTCAGTCGGTAAAGAATTCTCAATTATTTAGTCCAAAGAGGTAACTTCATTAGCTTCTTAGCGAAGTCGAGTATTCTATGATCTGTTACTCTCAGGTGCACTTCGTACTTCAGCATTCAGATGGCCGAATCACGTTCACCACAAAGACATTTTTTTGAGTATCTTTACCTGTAGAATTTGATACCGATTTGACACACTTATATTTTTACCAATATAGTTGAAGTAGCAAAACTTAGTGCAGAAGATCTTTGAACTTCGCAGTGAATTAAGCAACCTTGTCTTTAGGTTCTAGAACCCTAGGCTGTGAGACGTCCCTTCCTCAGCCTATAGTTGCTTAGGTGCATAAGTTAGTAGTGCATTCGACACCACCACAACATCTATTATACTCGCCTGACTGAGCTCGGTCATGAGTTGGCATGCTCACATTTATAAGAATGATGTAATTAGCTCAATAGTTACTCGATCTACGTACCACGCAGGCTTTGCAACTATTAGAATCGACAATTCCTAATGTAGACAACAATTTTTTTTTTTCTTCTTCTTTTCCTCTAGTTCACTCTTGTCTACTTTTTGTTTGAATTTTATCCCTAATTTAGACAACAATGAATCTTCTTCATGATCTTGCTTTTTCAACAACATGTTGGGGTTGTGATGTCATTTCATTATTCTTTTTTGTGACTTGATTCATATGATCATCTCGATTAACTTATCTCAATCCAAGACCCAAATACAAATAATTAATATGCTGTTATATATTATCGGATGGAATTAACCTCTATCCATATCCAAACTCATTTGTAATCAGATAATCAGATTGAAAACCACAATCCATATTATATTAATTACATCTAGTTGAATTGAATTCGGGTTGAAATTCGATGTATCTACATGTCTACTATCTACATGAAACAATCTAAGTCTAAAATCATAAGAAGATAGTCACTTAATACTATGGTCTAGTGCTGGCCTATTGTGAGATTTAATTCACTCTTTCAGTCATTTAATGTAGATAATATAGTTTGGCAAAAAAAAAAAAAAAAAAAAATCACATGGAGAGGAAAGCAACGACAAGTCGTAAGCCTATTGTTCGGCGACTGAAAATTGAAAAACGCATATACAGGTAGCGGCTGAGTTCAAGCTGGAGATAAGCTAAACCATGGCGTCTCTGACTCCGTTTATACGGCGCCGTTTCCTCTGCAGCAGCACCACCACCAATGTCTCGAAGAAATGGGCCGTGAAGGAAGTGACGAAGTCCAATTTTTCCGAGTCCCTGGTGGAGTTCAAGGACCACCTGTCCAGCTCCGACTTCGTGGCCGTCTCGCTGCAGAAAACGGGGTCATATCGTGCGCCGTGGCACCGCCCTCAGCCCTTCGACACCGCCGACACGTCGTATTGCAAGGCCAAGTACGCCGCTGAGCGCTTCCAACTCCTCCAGTTCGCCGCCTGCCCTTTCACTCTCAGAGCCTCCAAGCTTACTCCTTACCCGTCCGTACGCTTTCACTATACCTATACATACACATATATAGAATGGAATTTGATGATGGGTTTGTTGATTTTGGTGCAGATACAACTTTGTCTTGTTCCCAAGGGATGAATTGAAGATGGGGATGCCAACTTATAGCTTTTCAGTTCAAGCATCACATTTGACTTCCATGGCGGATGAAGGTTTTGATTTCAATGCCTGCATATATAATGGTAAGCCTCCCCAGTCAAGTTTTGATATTTCATTTTACTCCCTAATTTCTTGTGGAATATGATTTTACCCAAATGAATATTTTTACGAAAACTGGAATAGAAATTACGAAAACTAAGAACTCTGGTTCGATGCATTGGTGAAAGTGTACCATTTGGGATATTGCAAGTCTGTAACTTTGCTGTTGTATTGAGATTTTGTGTTTTTGTAATGAGACAGGTATTTCATACTTGTCTAGAGCACAAGAATCTGCGGCTAAAGCTCGGATAGGGAATCCGACTACCAGCAGCTATGTAATGAGCTCTTCTTCGACCCCTACTGTTGCTGATACGGTTTTTGTTGAAAGAATTAAATCGCGAGTTAAGCATTGGAAAAGTGCATGTAAAAACACAAAGAAAGATAGTAAGAACAGAAAAAGGGTTCTAGATTCTACTTACATCCCCTATATTTCGTTCGATTTTGTTATATTTTCGGTTAAAAAGTGTTTTGGCTTTCCATTTTGCAGATGCTCTGCTGAGTTCCTTGAGAAAAATTGTAATGGGAAGTGAAATTTACGGAACAAGACCCTGCATGAATCTAGATGTTTGCAGTGAACGTCAAGTGCAGCTTGCTCTGGAGGTATGTATGTTGACCCGTTGTTGTTTTTAATCCTTTTTTCTGGTGCCGGTATATTTAATCAGATTTTATCTGATCAAATGATTATTTTTTTCATTGGTTGCAGATGTTGAAAGAGTTCTCTGATGAACTTGTTCCTTTAATAATCCCAGCAAGGGGCGGAGGAACTCAGGCTGTTCGTGTTGTTTTGACAAGTTCTACCGCGGACAAGGACTTGTTTGAGGTAGTGACGTGATTTTCAAGTCTTTCTATTTTGCATTATCAGGCTTTTTGTAACGCAACATTTGGCTTGAATGTTTTACTTACAGAGAGAGCTCCAAAACCTTGAGGAGGAACAAAACAAGAGAGTTCGTGGATTTCGAGAGGTGATCGATTTGATTTCTGCTTCACAGAAACCTGTTGTCTCCCACAATTCCCTGAACGGTGTATCTCTGTTTAATAAATATCTATGAGTTTTAATGCCCTTGACTTGGCTTCTGTTCTTTTTCTAGTTTCTCAACTTACTGTTTAATTTTTCTTTATGCAGATTTCACAGTTATTCATTCAGAGTTTCTCTCTCCCCTCCCGACTAATGTAGATGAGTTCATGGGTTCCTTGCACTCGGTTTTTACCCACATACTTGATGTCACCCATCTGATGAAGAATATTGGTCCTCTAAGAAAGATGACCAATATTTCTGCAGCTATTTCGTACTTGAATAATCATTACTTCGCACCCATTGATATGGAAATTTTGCCCCAAGGTATCGATATTACCCTTAGTTTTTGCGTAATACAGTTGAATAGAGTGCAGTAATTCACATATTTGTTGCTCTTGTGGGTTTTACATGGTTTTCCTGTGATTTCTTGTGTTGATTACTGTCCGTTATGCCATTTTTTTACTTCAGAGCAAACCTAACTTCTTCTCTTACCATACTCAATGTTTGGGTTGTCATCTACAGAAAGTGAAGGCAACATTCATAGGCATAATGTGGTGAAGATGTGCTATTTGTTTGCAAAGCTCTGCTCCATTCTGAAAATTTCCGACAACTCTATGGTATTTAACAAGGCATTGTTGGCTCCAGCCATCGAAGAGTACACAAACATTTCCAATCCATGTTCTGACAGCCCCCAAGAATCAACCAATGAGGATATCAGAGTCTGGACAAAGAATATGAGAAAGGTCAGCTGTGATCAATTGGTATTTTTATGGGGATTCAGGAGTGGGATGACTGCAGGGATGATCAAGAGCTTGTTGTGCAAGTCACATGCCGTCTTCTCTGAAGAATTTGATGTTCGGTTAGTGGACAAGAGCTGTGCCATTGTTGTTTTCTGGCGACATGGTTTATCTGAAACTTTTTTGGATGCCATGAGCCGTGAAGAGATTTGTGACTCTTTAATGGAGATCGCTTCGGAGGGCATAAGAGCATCAAGTTACGAAACTTACAAGAGAGTCTGCAGGTTAGGCTTATGGGAGGCAGATTTAGCGGAGTCCCTAGACAAAGCCTTGGAAGACTTGGACTACCTTGCGGAAGTTAATTCAGCAACAAATTCTAAAGAAATTTATTGGTCTAGCAACTCAGCGATAAATTTTGATGACTTGTAATAATTAAAACTCCATATGTTAGAAATGAGATCAATTTTGTTCTAAAACCCGTTGTACAACCGAGAATTGTTGTCGTGCTATCCCAAAATTGATGCCCATGTACTTTCTTCTAGTTTGGTTGCGTGCGTAACAGATAATTGTACATAGTAAGACACACAGACATTGTTCAGAGACACATAACAGATAATCGTACCAAACTATCAAAACCCGCATTCAGTTTCTGCCGGCAAGTCCTCATATCGTATCTGCCAAACATGTTTCATTGATGAATCAAGGGTCTAAGTAGATTATCTCTGCATTCGCCGAGACACGCTTAAACTGGAGCAAGTTTTGGAGCAACATTTTTACTTGAAAATTATTAGCAGCAGCAGGCTTCACAGTCATCTTCTCAAGCACAGGTGAACTTGAAAGCAAAAACCTGATGAAATCTAGTTCAGCTTTGACACCAAAGATGCCAGTTATTTTGACAATTCGCAGTTGGGTCAATTGGCAATTCTGGTTGTTGTCTAACCCATAGTTCACTTCTCCCACAACAGCCTGGTACTCATTCCGGGCCTGCACAAGTCTATATCATCAGATGCCTGAACATCACATAAAACAGCACTCTAAACAGTAAAATACAATTAGTGTAGAGAGTTGGGTTGCCATTCTTAATTGAACACCAGGATATGCACGCATCAACATAATACAATAAACTCACCCAAATTTCAAGTTCCTTTAGAGCAGGGAAGCTTCTCAGAAGACATAAAACAGTTAAAATCTCCTTCGGATCGTTGAAGCTTAAATCTATAGAGAAAAAATTCAGATACAGACACGGTTGAGGTAGATTTCCTGGCAAGACTCCGACAGCCAAATACTGGAACAGAAAGGTTCAGAAAACAGGAGAATGAAATTACAGTCAAATTCTGATTGCCACAAAATCTGATTATTGACTGAAAGAATGAAGCCACAAAATCCATTACCTTTAAAAAGTTAGATTTGACACGAAGACATCGAATGCGAGGCAGATGAACAAAAAAATTGAGCAAATTCCTACAACTTCCAGCAGTCTGTCTTTGGTCATTTGCAACATTAGCAGTCAAATTAATGTGAACTTCGGCCAGTTTTAAGGTTTTCACAAGACTAACATCCTCAAGCACGCCTGTAAAATGAACATATTTGAGATTCGGTGCATCAATCTTGAACTGGGTTAATCCATCACAGCGCCACAATGTTAATCTCTCAAGAAGAGGACAGCAGACAATCAGATTCTCAAACCCATCTTGGTCCAAGGTAACATTAACAAGACCACAAATCTTCAAACTCCTGAATCCTTGAAATTTGGATGGAGGTTGTAGCAAACAATTATATAACGCTAAATAAATGAGATCTTGACAAGAAAACAAACATGAAGGCATCTTGTAGCGATGCCCACTACACTTGATATTAAGCAACAACTCTTTGATAGAGTTTCTTGACAGATGAAGAATCCATCGATCAATATCTCTACCGACTTGAGGTTGGGAATGAGTGATCCTGAACCTGTGTATGGGGCTAATGTGACCCAAGAGTACATGATCAACAACGCCTGCAAAGGTTTTGGGGTTTTGATCTGAGGTGCACCGTTCATCAAACAAAAGATCAGTAAGCATAGCCGATTTGTTCCTCCATTTGCTTGATAATACACTTGTTCTAACTGCCTCCCTAATTGGCAAATGTGACAAAATTTTGTTTATAACGTCACTTGGTAAGTTGCTAATTCTGTCCAACTCCATTGACACTTTCTAACGGGACTTGGGCGAACACAAACACACCTGTATTATACAAAAAAAATAAAAAATAAAAAATAAAAAAAATAAAAAAAACAACAACAACAACAACAAAACTATCTCTAATCACATAAACCTCAATATTTAAAAATAAATAAATCCAATGCAAAGAAACGAACTTTAATCACATAAACCTCAAAGTTTGTCTCCTAATTAAAATACTTCCCAATTAACAACATTAAACTATTCATTTGTTATATTATGCACTCATTTATGACTGTATCAAGCAAAATTAAATTAAAAAATAGTAAATGAAAACCAGAAACATTTCCATTTCATGTTCGATTGCAGCTTTAAACGAGCAATAAAATAAATAAATAAATAAATAAAAAAACCATTTAGCAAAAAAAATAAAAATAAACGGCGACTGTGGAGAAAAGTCTCGAACCTCGATGAGAGCAGATGAAGCCGACGAGGGTTTAACGGAGGTTTTGACGGTTGAGGTAACGGAGGAGGTCGATGAGTGTTTTGAGCGACGATCGAAGGTCTGCCGGATTTATAGATGGAGACGCAGTCGCTCGGCTCGTTGTGAATTTTGGAGCTTCCAATCCAAAATGGCCTAATTGTTGTAAATAAGTGGATGCCCACTCAAAAGAAGGGATTGGATTCTTTCCCCTTTTTTCTTTCCTTCCTTTCCTTATTTTCTATTTTCTATATGAACATCACGATTAAGCCATGTTAATATTTTATATAAATTTTTTTATAACAAAAGAAAGATAAAATAAAAAAATGTGAGAGAAAGGGTTAAAAAGGGATGAAAAGAGGAAGGGAGAGAATCTTAGTCCCTAAGATCAAGTCCACCTTTGTGGACTGCTCGGAGGAAGGTGGACCAAACAGGGCTCCATAGTCTGGCAAAAGCACTCCAGCGTTAGGAGCCCAAGTGACTGGCCAAGCCCGAGCAAGAGGCTTGTGAGGAATTGCCAGCCTGCGAGCCTGAGGTGGACCTGATGCAGGGCTGACGTCAGTCACAATTTTAAGCGTGGGGGCACGTCAGCAAACAAGTTTTAGACCCCAGGAGCCCGCGGAGCAGTCAGCCTCAGTTACCGTTGGGAAATCACGTGGCTTCCCACGATGTGTTCGATCTCAACGGCTCTTTAAAATGGACCATCCGATATGCAACAATAATAAAAAAAAAAATTCTTAAATAATCTCAGATCGACGGTTGATATTAATCTGCTTTATAAATAAAAAAATAAAAGAAAAAATAGTTTTAAAATTAAGAAAAGTTACCGTTGTGACACGTGGCACAATCTGGAATGTTGGAATTCATTTTTTTTATATCCAACGGCAGAGATTAATTAGTTGAATAAAACTTTAAAAAAAATTGTAAAAAATTCGAAAAAATCTGAATTAAAAAAAAAAATTGTTTTTACTTTTCTATAAATACATTCTCATTATCATCTATCTTACACTACAATTTCATATTTTCTCAACTACTTTCAATCACATTCATTTCTTTCTCTCCAAGTTTCAATCCATTTTTTTTTCAACAAAATGACTACTGATGCAGGTACGAATTGATCGCTTCTTGAAAATGTTGCGTTGTGTACTAACTGAGTTGAAGTTACTCATAGTTCGCTTGCGAGTAATGAGATGCAGTTACGAGAAATGTGGAGTCTTATTTATACCAATTATCTTGAGAAAATTGGTGGGAAAATAACCAAAGAATCGATGTCCAGTCGTTGAAAATTACTTAGCCAATCGTTTAGTATGTGGAGAGACACCTTGACACAAGATAGTACTAATATTCGAAGTAGGGAAAATTACTCAGATCATGTAACAATATATTATTTATTTGTTTGTACTATACCCAAATTTACATTATAATTATTTGTTTGTATTATTTATTTGTTACCTACTTACATTGTAATTATTTGTTTGTACTATTTATTTGTTACCTACTTACATTATAATTATTTGTTTGTATTATTTATTTGTTACCTATTTACATTATAATTATTTGCTTGTATTATTTATTTATTTATTACCTATTTTCATTATAATTATTTCTTCTCCCGCATTGTGTAGAAACTTTAAGCACAAGCTTGGTACGGTGCCAAAACCAAAAGCAAAAATAAATCATTCAATCGGTAGGAATGTTCGAATATTGTCAAAGATTGTCCTAAATTTAGAGTTGTGTCTGTTCGTCCAGAAGTTTTCATGAACATCATTCCTCTACACTCTACACCTAATCATGACTCGCATGTTCATGAAGATGATGCAGAAGAAGTGCCTGAAACGTCCCTCCCTGAACAAGCGTCAGATTCAACCCGTTATTCAATTAGGCCTCAAGGTAAGAAGGTTTCAAAGAGAAAAGGGAGTGCCTCCAAGAATGATTATGCAAAGTACATGGAAGAACTTACTCGCCAAGGTGAATTGACTTTGGCACGGGAAATGGCGAAATATGAGGCTGATAAAACTAGAGAGGAAGCAAAAACTGCAGCTATTAAGAGATAATTTCAAGCTAATAAGAGAGAAAGAGAGCTACTTAGGCAAGAAAGGGAATATGTTAGAGAAGAACAAATGACTCAATGAGATCGTGAGATTATGAACACGCCTTTAGAAAGGAAGTCTCCAAATTCTAAATTTTTTTGGAAGTCAGAAAAAGCGGAAGTGGTGCGAAGGAGGCGTGCAAGAGAAACAAGAGCAAGACAAGATGGTCCTAGCACCACAAGAGAAGATCATCCTAGCACCACAAATTGGTTAAGTGATGATAGAGTAGTTTTTGTAATCGGAGCACATAATTTTCCAATCACTTTGGGTTGTAATTTATTATTTATTGTATATAATACTTTATGTTGTTTCCAATATATTGAATTTAGTCCTTTATATAAAGTGAAAGTAAATTTATTGAATTTGATAAGTTATTTATACTAACTCAAATGACAAAAACACACCAAATAAAGTGACATAAACATACCGAATAATAAAAAACCCACTAAAGCTGAACTAAAAAACACACTCCAACTAAAATTAAATAAACACACCAACTAAAATTAAATAAACGCACTAAAAACAAACACACTAAACTTAATTATCTTCAGCTTGTTTCAATGCCCACTGGTGCTCTATCAAGTCATTTTGCCAGACATTGTGCATACATGGCCTTTGAAGTGCAGTATATCGTTGAATGACCAATTCATTGTAGCGTCCATCCCCTTCTAATGGCTCATGTTGCATGGGTTCTTCGGTGGCGTTATGAGCGCAATATATACGTGTTGTTGAATTGTTCATTGTGTCTGACTCATATT